GCAAAAAATTCTGACTTAGGTTTTTGGTTTTTGAAGGATGGCATACCCCAGCGGATAAGTCAGAAACAGGGTTCCAAAATTTTTAAGATTTGATTTTCGGATCGAAAAAACATCAAGTTTTTGAAAATGTACAAGCAATGAGAAATTTCCCTTCACTTAAATCTTACAAACTGTACAGATTGGAACTAATAACCATTTAATTTGAGAATAGATTTATTTTTTGTTCAGTTATAAAAACCTGTCATTAATGAAATAAATTTTAGAATGGACACTTTTTCTACCAATCGGCTCAATTGCTAGTCTTGCGAAGTAGATAGAGCACCGTGGCTAGAAGCAAGCAATGAGATATACACATCTTTTCAAAGACAGCTGAGAAACATAAAAATGCTATTTTTTGTAAAGGAGAATGAGAATATGACGCTGACAACGTAAACTGGATCGGAAAAAACATTCAAATGAGCAAATGATTCGTCTTTAACAAAATAAACTCACATCAAAAACAGGAGAATTGGTATAACAAGTCCGGGAGATGCAACATGTCGGATGTAACCTAGATATGTTGGCGGCACTCTTTTCTCAATCTCTTTGGTAATCACAGTGTAGAAATGATCATGTTGCCTAGAAAAAATCTTTGATAATTTTTTGGAGAAAAATTCTGTAATTTTAGGAACGTACGCAAAAGGTCCGCACTTCCTGGATGGCCTCGTCGATGCAATGACATAACCAACGGGTAAGGTGCAGAGGAGCAGCCACAGAAGCAGGATTAAGAGGTAAAAATTGCTCGACCTAGAAAATCTCATTAATAAGTTCTTTTAGAGATAAGAAGATTGTGGAGTTCTAGAATAAGGAAGAATAATGAATCATACTATAAGAAAATCTGAAATTCACTCACCTACTGGCTCGAAAAATTTCTCTTGCCGGCACATTGCAAGTCATGACAGCCCATCCACGGATATACATAAGTATAACAAGCTTGATGTTATTCAGAGCTGGTAGCAAAGGTGTAAAGAACAGTCCAAGCCAGATCATACCCTGGTTGTTGATAATGTGCAGCACATTCTCTGCTACTTTGAATTCGCCATATTCAGGCTGAAATTGGATTTAATCATTTCAAGGGACAGAAAATTCTTAATATTGATAGCGGCTTCGGGTTACACCCTAGGATCTGTTTGCGCAAAATCTCGCAATCTTCTATGGCTCTAACAACACTTTTTTTGCACGAACTGGCAAATGCCGAGTGGGTGGAGCTGGAGCGGTCAATCAGCCAATCGCAGCATAATCAACCAATACTATCAAATGGCGTTTGCTGAATGGTCACAAATGCCCGCATAGTCGGATTCTGCCCGCTTTAGAAGAGATTTTTT